GTGTCACAATTCACCTCTCTGACAGCCTGAGCCTGCAGTGACTGGCAGAGGAACAGACCCTCACCTAGATCTTTGGTACTGGAAAACTGTAAAATCAAAGCCTGCAGGTAAAAAATTACCATTTGTTTTACCTAGATTTTGACTAGCTTGAAACCAATCTTTAATGAAGGAGCTGGAAGGAAGCCTGTCATAACTTTTTTTTTAGAGTTTTCCCAGAAAGTAGGAAAAAAAAAATTATACTGGTAACTATCTAAATTTGCAGGTAGGCCCAAACACACATGATGAACATCAGATGTGAGAATACGTGATGGGTGTCAACTAAGAAGCTTTTGTTTCCTGAGTTGTCATTTTGTGACTGTTCTATTTCATAACTTATTTCACTGCATCCTGAATTACAAGATGCTGTTTAACATATGGTCACAATAAGAAAACATGACAGATTCATCATTATACAAACATGCATCTAAAACTGTCACCAGTTATCATTTTGCCATTATTCTCCTTTTTTAGAGAATTTAAGTGCACTTGGAATATGAAATAACATTGTCTATTGACCCATTTTTGACTTCTATCTGTACTCCCATATATTTCAACTCAAGTTGCTTGAGCATAAAAACTGATGTGTAACATAGCTTTGGTTCATTTCTGTTTAGACAGGTTCTAAATACACTAAAGATAAATGATAAATTATCTTTTTTGCACTGGAATTGGCAGCATCGTCAGACTGATAGCAAAGTTGCTATAAATTTGAAGATGGACATTTTTTTATTTTAACTTCCTGAAAAGACACTTAAATCATTATCTGAAATATGTATGACTACCCATAATCATTCTGTATGAAACTGCAGAAATAAGATGTCAAAGTGTTAAGGCAAAATAAAATGATAGATTAGATGACATTTACTTAATACATGATACTGTTTTTAAAAGCAGTAATTTACTGAGTTCAGATAAAACTTTTGGAAAAAAAATCTCTGTACAAAAAATAATTATTATCATGGACACCGATCTGAAACATTAGAAAGAAATTTGATTTTAGAACCAAAGTGCTTTTCCTTAGTCCAACTCATTCTGACCATTATGCAGTGAATGTACCTGTGATGCCTGTGCTGCTCAAATACTGTTTCTAGAGACTTCTGCTGTCCTTCTCTCTGTGGCTTGTAGTCCAGCATTAATTTATAGCTCCTCTGAAGCACTGTTTCAGAGTTGCAGGACAGAAGGGTATCACAGAAAAGGCTGTCTAAAGAGAGAGAACAAAGCAGAGAATGATGGGTTGAGGAAATTGTATGGTAATTCTTGTGAGACCTGACACACATTTCTGCTTGACAACCTGAAATAAAGTATTGTAGTCAATTTGACACATGAAATAATTTTGTTTTGGAATTACCTGACTTTCTAAATCAACACCTTTTTTTTTTTTTTTTTTTTTTTTTTTTTTTTTTTTTTTTTTTTATGAAAGAAGGAGATTTTTTTTTCTGAAAAAAACCCATCAGTTTTAAGGAAACTGTATTTTCCACTGATAAATGGAAAAAAAAAATATTCTGAGCCACTCTATGTAAAACATGATGTTCCAAATGATCATTTATTGTATTTTTTCAGTGCCATTCAGAAATTATTACAAATAAACCTCTAATATTTTTATTTATGAAAACACAACCCCACAGTAATATTACTTATATTTTAAATAAAATGATGCATTTGGTGACTCAACATTGAGGAGCATTTGAATTATGCAGTTATGTTAATTCAAGCAAAATGGCAGAATTTTTTTTTAATTGGTGCTTAAATTGTGTGGCCTTTTCATATTACGCATAGTAAATGCTGTTCACAACAGTTTAAAAGTGTTATTTATTACCATAGAATTAGGACAGAGTAAAAAGTATTGAAACTTGCAGTTCAAATTGAGACAGTGTTCCTAAGATAGAAATCTAATGAGATCCTCAGCTTCTGACTGTTTTTTTCCATGTCAGTATACTTCTTATCATGCCAAAATCTCACTGAGCCTGTTTAAAACTGTAGGATTCTATTCCCAAATAAACCCAAGTTAAAGAAAAAAAAAAAAATAGAGAGCTATACACTTGGTATTGCATGTTGCTGACTCTGAGTAAGAGCATTTCTCTTGAGTGGTTTAGAGCAGAACTGATATCACCACTGTATTTCTTCCCTGAAAACCATTCCTTCTTCATTATTAAACAATACGATTAAAGATAAGACAGCAAGCAGGCTTTTAAATTGCAAGTGGAAGAAAAGAAACAAAACTAATGTCTGCTGGCCAGAATTAAGCTATATGGTATTTTTTGAACCATAAAGCTAGAAAAAGAATTTCAACAGAATTTTTAATGAACCGAGTATTTGTTCACATCTTCACATGCATTTTTTTCTTCCACAATTTGTAGTAGCCTAAAAGAATCCTCAATTCACTAAGAAAACAATTTTTAGGAAGTTTGTAAAAATTACACAGCAATAGGAGTTAATATTCAGAAGTGCACAGGGTAATGGAATTGCTGTTTGTTGTGAGAAACCAATATTAAAAGATGCTAAAAATATCTCAAGAAATTGTATTACATAAGAATTAAGAATTAAAAAGTTGGTAAAAGATAGTACTAGAAGTAGACAACCACCACAAAACCAAAATCTGTCCTTTTAAACAACATTATTTCTCTATTTTTCTATTAGCTTTCTATTTCTCTATATTTTTCTATTCATTCTTCCCCTATTTCTAGACATGCAAGAGACCGTAGTTCAGACACTCATACTTCACACAGCATTCCTGTTCACGGGATTCAGCATGTGCTCCTAAAGACTAGCTTCGTTACTTTGAACACAATTCAGAAAAGTATTTCTGATTTGCTTGAGATGATTATGGAAATATTTACACTAGAAACTTTTTTTTTTTTTTTTTTTTTTTTACATGAAAATATTTTATGGTGGGGTTTGGCTGTATTACATAGACTTTTTATATACCAAATACTCATATATATTTTAGGTATTTGTTTTTTAATGTAAACAGGTGGTTAGCAAAATGAAAGGGAGTTTGTCAGCATTTTAGTGAACTTCTGCACAAATTCTCAAGATGTAAAAGGATATAGCTTTATATATTAGTACCTATTTTCCTTCTTTAAAGAATGGTTCCAGGAACCATAATTACAGTTGGTACATAACTTATAGCGAAGACTAATCCCTTCGAAGTCAATGCAATTTTAGTGATACTTAAGACAATCAAGGCTACAGATAGAAGCAAAACCAGCAATACATCAGATTTTATGGGGATAGCATCAGTTGCTGTAGAAAAGAACCTGAAGCTATGGAAGGGACCTTTCCTGGAGGTAGCCTTGGATTTGGTTATAACTCCTAGGGATTACTGATGTTGACAGTGGCATTGACATAGGGGACACTGCAGGCTGTTATTGACAGCAGGTCTAGTTACATTTCCAAAAACATCTTTTAAGAAACCTTTTCTTGGTATCAGACTCAGAAATTAATCATCCATTTCTTCTGAGGTAAGTTAGTCTGGATACACAATTGAGTTTCTTTTCCATTTTATAGAGTGGGAGGTTCACAGACAACTCTTAAACTTTTCACTAACTTATCTGTCAAAGCCAAAGAAGCAAAATTTGCGGGAAAACTACTGATTTGGTGGTCTAGCAAAAAAAGCTAGTCCCTCCCTATAACTCTAATTTATTTACACTGAAGCAATGTTGGGTGTACTATGGTTACTATACATATGATACAGAAATAAAATGAGATAAAAGATATATTTCAGTACTTTGGTCCTTCAGATCATATTCTAAGACATGTTAAGGTATTATTAGAATAACAGAGTCCAGCAGAGCTGTTTTTGTGGGAAAATAAAAGCCAGATTTAATTAAGTTTATAAACTCATAAAGACTTTTGCAATTAATACATTCAAATAAGCTTTCAAAATATCAATGCAAAATACATTGACATGTGAAATAAAAATTCTCCACATTGCTTATTAGCGAATTTATATTGCTTCCAAGTGTTTTTTTCCTTTTCAGGAAGACTTCAGCTACCAATGTCAGTAATACAATACTTGCTATTGACTCCTTACATCACAAGCTTCCAAGATTTTCTTTTCATGTCAGTATGTGAGACAAGAATTGGCATAGTATGTTACGGACCTCTTAATATCACCTGACACTGGCAATTTAAATGGTAGTCATAGTTTGGCAAAAAAATCTGACTAGGAGTTCCTGGTTGTCACTGAAGTCCTTTTAGATTTAAGCAAAGCTGTAATGGCAGTGGAGAAAGGATGAAGCCAACATCTTCTTGGGTGATAGTGTCAACGTGGCAGCACCAGCTGTGACAAATCGTTCTCACCATGACAGGAACAGCATGGCAGGCTGTGTCAGGGTGTTTGTTTACTGAGAACTTCAGAAAGCAATGGAAGTGTATTATGTTTATATAATTATTATTTATAACTATTGTTGGTGATGGGAGAAATGGTTGAAAGTGCCGTTTTGTAGCGCTTCTTGAATTACATGCAAAGTAAAATGATGCATTTGAAAGTGCTTATTTAGTCTTGACTTGACTAATTATTAACTACATTCTTTTCCTCTCTTGACAGTGAGGGCCTATTAACCCAAATCTGCTTATTGTGAGAGATCACTCAGCTGTGTTTGGTGATTTTAACATGCTTTTCTACAACATTAATTCATGCTGTGTGCACGCAAGGATCCCCTCTCACTGCTCTCCTTGGTAATCAGATATCTCTCCAAAAATACTAGTCTCTTTATGCACGTGCAGTGCTAGGAAGAGAGAAAGAAAGAAATTTAAAGCTAATTCTATTTTCCCTTCACTGACAAAGTGCATTTGACCTCAAAATGGGGCACCTGTCAGAGATCCTCACACAAGCAGGAATCCCTGAAATTTTAGCGCTATTTCTTAGTTATAAATAATAACAATATTCTTGATGGGTGGCAGCTAATGAGTGTCAGTGCAAATGGCAATTTCAGCAGGAAGGGGTGCCAGCAGAGCCTTTACTGACTGGAGTACTGCATGGTGCTGTACTTTGTCATTCGTCTCCGGGAGGTGCCAGGAGATGCCATGCCCATTCCCTGACCAAGATGACATTCGGCACTGAGCATCTGACCTGTGCTGCTCAGGCTCCCCAGGTTTGCTCCTCCCAGGCTTGTTCCTCCCATGCTGCTCATCCCAGCCCCTGACACTACTCTCTCTGTGACCACCACGTTGTGAGTGTTGGATAACTCTGAAGGAATATTTATTAGGCTGCCCGGCATGCCGGAGGCAGGCCTGAACACCCTTTCTGTCACTACCACGTTTGACCCATCTACCAAATCAGGAATGCTCAGAGATGCCGGGAGTCGGGAGTTAGGCGCAATTACTCTTTCCGTGACGATAACATTGGAGCCCTCTGTGAGATCAGGGATATCGAGCATGCCACGCAAATCAGAGGCAGACGCAGGCCCGACAACCCTCTCTGTCACAACGACATTGGAGGCACGCAGTGGGTCAACGCAAAGTGAGGGTGAGCTGGAGGTGTAGGTCTCGGTCACCGTCATGTTGCCATGGAGCAAGGGATCCGGCATTGGCCTCGGGTGCTGTATGGTTGTCCCAGATGTGTAGGTGTTTTCAGTAACAACTGTTGTGGTGCCAGCGGCGCCAGGCATAGGTGCGCTTCCATTGACAACGATGGTGGTGCCAGGTGGCGGGAGGTTTAGATCACTTTCAGGACTGGGGAAGGGAATGTTGACGCCTGGCCAGGGTGGGTTAGCATCAGGGAAAGGTTCGATCTCTTTGCCCAGACAGATCTCTGCTAGGGTCTTAAATTTTGGTCCTAATGTATCCAAGTATGTTTCATCTGTGTCTTCTCCAATAAAGCTGCAGCAACCCACAGAGCCAACAGGAGTACCGACTCCTTCATGATCATAGATTAATAGGCAGTCATTTGCTGGCCGACCTTCGTCTTCATCTGCATACACAAATGCTTTCTGTAGTTTTCAAAAACAAAAAAAAAGGAAAAAAAAAAAAAAAAACCCAGAACAACAGTGTGAATTTTGTCAGGCTTTTAACCATGAATACTCAAATCACAGTAAAGTTTTCCTAACTACAGTAAGGCCCACCTGACTTGAAAAATAGGACATCAAGAGGACAGACTATACCATCAACATTTTTTACCCTTAAAATATGTTTATTTAAATAGTATTGTATTTTATTCTTGTTTCTGCTGACATGTAGCATCTCGATTTTGGTCTGTCGTCAATGTCTCTGTCTATGGGACAAAAGGGAGAGGCAAACAGGTGCCTTCTTTGGGCAGCAGTGTCTGAAAAAAGTGGTTGGAAGAGGAGTGAAGCAGGGTGGCAAGGGGAGCAATGAAGAGACCAGGAAAGAGAAGATGGGATGGAGGATTTTCCACAGTGGGGGAGACTTGGTGAGTCCAGAGGGGAGTCCATTTTGAGCAAGAAGGAAATCGCCCACTGGGAATGATGTTTTGGATCCTGGCGTGGTCATTGCAAAGAGATAAGGCAGGAAAGAGTAGAATTTAGAGTGCTGAGTGGGGTTGGAGGAAGCAGAAAAGGATGGAAGTGGAGGCCTGGGAGGGAGAGTCAGAGAGTTTGGGGATTGAGATGGTCCAGGAGGGTAGCTGTAGTATGTGGAGGCCTACGGCTGGCAGACAATTAATACATAGTGCTTCAGGCCAAGGCAGGAAGATTGCAGTCTGGGAGAAATCCATGCTCAGGATGTCACAACTGCTCTGTTCTCTCCTCCACTGAACCTTGTTTAGATTTTGAAATATAGCAATCCTTATATCTAAATTGATATTTTGGTTACATGCAATTATAACATTTATGCCTCACAGTTCATGCATATGAATAAAAATACAGCCCATGAAACCATTAATCATGTAAATTCCATACCATTTTTTAAATCCCATATGTAAAGGCAAATTTAGGTGTTGCCAATTGTAAAACTGCATATTGGTGTCACTGGTAGTTCACAAGTCTTTTAAGGAGCAGAAATGGCCATAAAAGTAAGGAAGAACTGATGTTTAAAGTTCTTTCAGGATTAAAATTACTTCATCAAGCAAACGATACAGAAAGTAGGAGTGAACAATTCCAAAAAGTTATTAAATATTTATACACTGAGAAAGGTTGAAAATACATAAATTTGGTGGGTGCTTATGAAGTTGAAATAATTTAATTGCTTCCTACCCCTACCTGCATTATGTCCATCAATTTTACAAAAAGGCTGTTGAACAATCCACCTACTATGGCAGCAGCTCAAAGACAGTACTGCTACTAGTGTTGTAACTTTTCCTACCAGTGTGGTCAGTTTTGCTCTCACAGCAGTCTTATATCATGGAAGTTTCAATTTGAGTAGAATTAATTTGGATTTCCACCATGTAACCTGGGAAGGAGAATCTAACAGAAAGCATGCTCACAGCAATAACTCAAAGAATAGCATACCTCAGAGAAATAGTTGTCTAGGAAGGCCATGTTCACTCCCCCTTCTCGATACTCTTTGATTGTTCCTCCTATTGACCCTTTTGCTTCCCCTGTTCCAGAAATTCCTCCAGCTGTTCCGTAGCCAGTACCAGTGCCATAGCCAACACCCGTAGTTTCTTCAACACCAGAGGCTACTACTCCTCCTCCTCCGTATGTGTTATTATATATGTCTGAAAGCAGAAAAAGTTATCCCTCCTGTGCTCTGTGAAACTTTACACACAATTTGTCAGTTGTTTTTACAAATGCTATGATGACACTTCTGAGTTTCTAAAGGTATTTTAGATCAATTTCAGTCACAGGTACGTGCACAGGTACCAAACTTTGAAACAGCAGTAACAATTATATTCATATTAACAGACACCTAAGCTGTTGATTTTATTCCTGAGGCTAGGCAGCATGTGTGCATGTGTTTTAGAAAATCAGTGATTTATTTTGTTATTGGCTGGACAGATTATTCTGTCTAGTATATATGTATGCTGTCATGGGGTTTGCGTTAGAAAATCAGATAATGTTTATCTATGCAAATACATAAATGCATATTTATGGTCACATTTGCATTATTTTTTTTCTCCCTTACACACTTAGAAAAGAAAGAGTTTTGTAACTACTTTAATATTTTCTAGTAGTGAGATTTTTTAGGGGAGAACAACAATGTATCCTAATAACCACCAGTTTATAATGCATAATGGAAATTGTCTTTAAAATAAGTTATTAAGTAATACTTACAAGATTTTATCTTCTCAGTTTTTTTTTTAATACATGATAACAAGGAAAGAGTTTTCTTAATGATCAGCACATATTATAATAAAAGAATTGCATACAGTAGCCTTGACTGTGGTTACGCTGGGAAACATAGGCTAAATTACATATTTTTTTCATTTTTGTTAAATGAGAAATCTGAGAACATTCTTGTATAATAAATAGTCAGCAGAGAGGTTGTCTTGCAGAGTAACATTTCTTCCTGTCAGAAGCTAGGGAAAATGGATCTGTGCCAGCATTCTTCCTTCCTCTTCTGAAGTAAGGAATGGGGGAGAAGGATAAAGTAGCACTGCACAGCTGGGCTTATTCTCTATGATCATTGAATTCCTGGAGGAACCTTATTTCAGAGGCATACATTTATTGTGTTATGTATCAGCTTGTCTAGGTTAACACACAAATTGCTAGTAATTAACTAGCTACTTGACATGCTCCCTTGTGGGAAGCAGGAAACTGGGAATAACTTAAGATTTTACCCAAGTTATGAAAGCAAATATCCTTATTCTGGCTAAAGATTGATTTCTGCTAAAACTGATGTCTTGAAAAGGCCCTCCATTCAGTAGCTGTGCTGATAAAGAAAAATTGCCTGGGATTTGGAAGCCTTGGCAGCTATTTCAAAATAAGTGTAGTTTGCAGAAATTGATCTGTTCAAAATCTCAAACCCCAGACTTTTTGTTCATACTGGAGGTCCTAGTAGCATGAGTTTGACTATTTGCAGATGTGAGATTGGAAGGGTTGGGTTGTGGCTCGGAAACCAAAGGACTCCATGAATCTGAAGGCATGAAGTTCTAAAAGACAGCTTTATGACAGCATAACATAGAAGATTTAAGGATTTGCTTACCAGAAGGTTCACCAAAATCACCTCCTGCAGCGGTTGTTGGGGCAAGAATGTGTGAGACATCCTGGAAAACAACATTTTGACTCCTTGAATGATTACCTTGAAATTCCCATATGAAGACCAAGACTTTGTGAATTATGTTAAGGAATTAGCAGTCCAAACTGTTAATGATAGTTAGTCATTGTCAACATCTCCATTAACAAGCAAAACAAAACAAAACAAAGAGAGTACAGGTTTTTTTCCTTGTCAACATGAACAATGATCAGTGAAGATGATTTGTGTTCCCTTCTAAACTTGCACTTATGAGGCTTTCTAGTTATTATGCTTCATCTGAAGGAACAGTGGCACCAAACCATTATGCCAAACTAACTTACCACTGCTTAAAACACATAAACCCCATCAGTGAATGTTTATTAACAATCACTTTTCATATCTGCCTGGCAATTGTTGACAATGCCGGACTGGTTTTAGATTACACAGTGTTACTATCACTTTCTATAGAAAAATGCAGCCTTTACTCACAAATTACTTCTGGTTTTAGAAACATGGGATGTACTGACCCTGTCTTCAGGCTGTGCACCTTCTATTCCCCATGGATGAATTGCCCCTTCTGTACATTCAGGTACAGGTTCAAATCCAGTTCCAACTCCACCTGCAGCACCAGGTCCACAGCCACAACAGTCGCTCATTGACATCAAAATTGGAATCACTTAACAGGAAAGGAACAGGAAACAAGGATTTAGGACATCTCTTCCTCACAGGAATAGCTGCTCTCCCCAGAGGGCAGGTGCTCATGAACTTTTGAAAATATGCCTTTAAAATATTTCTAACCAAGCAGCCTGTAAGTCTGGCTTTCAGAATCATTAGCTGCTTATGGAGATGCCTGTATTTGGAAATTCAGAATAATTTGTACCTTTAGTTATAGCAGAGCAACACAGGGGTGGGGCTGTAACGCTAAATTTATGCTTATACACCTGGGAACAGACTTTGATCTAGCTCAGCTGAACCAATATAAGTTGCATACATATGAAAATTAAACAAACAGAACCAGTGTTGCTCTGTATAGCATTCAGTGCTATTCTTTCCAGATATACGAGCATACATTTTTCTCTTCAAGTGTTGTAATTGAAACAAAATGCACATTAGTAATAATAGACATATAAGAATCAGTGGAGAGTCCACCTGACTACAGTGATCATGGGCTAAGGCTCCAGCAGTACATTACATATACATAATGCTTGATTTGAAAAAGCATTAGGGGCAATCCCCAAGCCCTAGTTTCACCAAATGTTTACATTGAGTGAGTCAGGTTTCCCAGAGTGCTGTATTATGCTTAGTTGTTTAGAGAACTCAGTGTTGGAAATTGCACAATGCTTGTAATGGCTAGCATCGAAAACACTGCTTATTTTAGAAAGGCAATGCAATATTAATTCTGAGAATCATAGAATGGCTTTGAATGGCATAGAATGGGTTGGAGGAGATCTTAAATATAATTTAGTTCCAATCCCTCTGCCATGGGCAGGGACACTTTCCCCTTACCAGGTTGCTCAAAGAGTCATCCAGCCCAGCCTTGAACCAGGGATGGGGCTTCCACAACTGATCTGGGCAACATGTGCCTCTGTCTCATCACCCTCACAGTTAAGCATTTCTTCCTAAACCTACTGTCTTTCAGTTTAAATCCACTGCTCCTTGTCCTGTCACTACATACTCTTTTAAAAAATCCCTCCTCAGCTCTTTTGCAGGACCCCTTTAGGCACTGGAAGGCTGCCCTAAGGTTTCCTTTGGAGACTTCTCCAGCCTGAACAGTTCCACCTCTCTTAGCCTGTCTTCACAGGAGAGTTGCTCCAGCCCTCTGATTACTTGAACATCAAAGTGAAATGAAAAGGGGAAAGGACTATACTATGTACAAAGTGCTGCCTCATACTTTAGCATGACTAAAGATGTATTTACTCCAGACTCTGAGGGGAGATTTCCAAAGGCAGAAAGACAGTCTGTCTTGTAAGATAAACCATCTGGGGACTACAAATTTCACAGCCTTTTGAAGCTTCAAAATTTTGGGTTTGTTGATTCCTACTAAACAAAGATCAAAACCTGAACCAAACCCCCCTCCTCGAAAAACTGGGGGAAAAGAATCAATTTCCTCAGGTTTGTAGTCAGTATTTCTGAAAAGGGAAATTTTAGATGTTGGTTACTTGATGTCCAGGCCATGAAAAAAGGTTGATCACCTATGATTGTGGTAGTCTGAGAAATAATTGCTTGTATAAATTCTGGCTTGAGTCCATGAAGCTCATAATTCTTCATGAATACTAGGACAAATGAATTAACATCCTGTTTTGATCCTGTTATCATAAATGCTACTGGTTTTTTATTAGATGTAATGTTTGGAAGGAGTAGCCAAAAGTTTCAAAATCTGTGACTTATTGTTCTGCTACTGAAATCTGGCTTTGAGTTTAAAGGAATCTTGTTCTTTAGATCCTTTCATACCCAACTCAGAGCTGATACTTGCCCATTTCTTCTAGTAATGTAATGGAAGTAGAAGTTGCAAAATGTGAGTGACAGGACAGCTCTGTCTAAGAATTGGATAGCATGTCTTAGAAAGGAAATGCTTAATTTTGAATGAAAAATGTATGTATAACATAAAATTTATGGAAATTCTTTTCATTTAAAAGAATTTTTTTCTCTGTCAAATGGCCAATAGAAGCCAATGGATTAACAACCAACTGAAAAAGTAACCTTATTTTAGAAGAATTAAAAAATGAATTTTTTACATTATTGAGAAAAATAATAAAAATTGTTTTCTAAATTTTATACTTACAAACAAATATTAATCCACCGAGGAACATCAGGCCAATGGCAGCACCACTAAGTGTGGTATTTGATTCGAATTGCCTGCCGTAATTATCATTTCCAGCGTAACTGTCATCAGTGGAGGCAGTATATGCATCCTCACCTCCATCATAGCCATCAGTGTAACCCTGCCAGTCTGTGTGGTCGTCATAATCTCCTCCAGGTCTAGTCTGGCCATGATCACCACCACCTTGTTGTCCTCCATCTTCCCGGCCTCCTCCACCGGTGCCACCACCACCACCACCAGTAGTGCCGCCACCACCACCAGCGCCACCACCACCAGCGCCACCACCACCAGCGCCACCTCCAGAGCCACCACCACCGATGATGATTATTCTTGTGGCCCCACTGGTGCAGTAGTTCCGACTATCACACTGGCAAGCTTGCACAGGAATTATGTGTGGTCGAGCACAGCGCCGGCCTTGGCTATCTCTTACAACTACATAGATCCTATAAAGGTAAAAGTCTATGTTCTGGCCCACTAGTTCTGCAGAGGAATCTTGGAGGAAAAAAAAAAAAGAGAAAAACATTTGGATGATGGTATTGACTATAAGTATTCTACAAATCTATACTACTTGTGTATTACATTCATAGAACAGAATGAAACAAAGTGTTCTAGGCACCTCAATTACTTATGAATCTACAGTATTTACTTAAAGCTGAAACATAAAATACTCATCTATGCTTGTTTTTTTTTCCTGCAAAACATGAGCCAGATCAGTCTAGTTATCACTTCAATACTTGAGAAATACAAAAGGGGAAACTGAAATCTTTTTATTTCACACAATGGTAAAGATAAAAGCTGAAAGTTTTATGCATTTCTTACTCCTCTCTCAAGGAACTCATGCATGTTTTTTGGAAAGTTTTAAAATACTTAAGGTTACATATTTGCAACTGTTTGGGACAGGTAGGAGACTCAGGAATACTTGCAATTGTGATACTTGCCATATAATGTAGTCTTCCATGTAAACAGTAAGTTATGCAAATTTTGTCATTTAGTAATGCGTGGGATTTGATTAATTCATTATTTTGTCATGTCGTATTGAAAGAAACTGGCAAAGCTTCACTGGGCACTGACTAAAACAATTTTCTTTAAAAGACAAGTAGGTGTGACTGGTACAATAAATTTAAAAAGTTGTAATCTTAATTTGCCATTTTCATATGCCTCTCATGAAAGTAAAGCTCTGCTAACTATAAACTTTATACTTTAATAAACAAATTTGAAATTTTTTTGTATGCTTAGGATTTTTTAGATAACTCAGAAATAAAAAAGTGTCAAATTACTCCTTTTGATTTACGTAATTATGTTTAGACCCATAAAGGCTCTTGTCATAGTTATACTCAAAGTACAGTTTTGCTAGTAAATTTTCAGTTTCCTTTAAAGTATAACACATGTAATAATTCTGATTTAAATATTCTAATATATATATATATATGTACACATGCATATATTCAAATTTGGAGTAACTCCTTATATTCATATTTAACTGAGATTTGAATAGATTCTAATAAGTGTTTTGTTTGTTAATAAATTAACATCCGAATCAGTTATTTTAGATAAGAGCTTATTGCTATCACTTATGCTGTTATAAAATATAGGTTAATTTACCATTTATTCGTCTGATAATCCATGTAGTCTGAGGTTCACCATGTATGCTGAATGTGAAGGGGGTAGCATAGAGATCACCATCCCTATGCTTTGCTGAGATAATCACCGATGGGGAATTCATACATACTTTCCTCATTTCAGTATTAATAGTTGGGCAATTGGCATTGATGCCATCTATTGAAAGCACAATGGTGCCAGTAGCAGTATATCGAGGAACCCCTGTAAAAAGAAGGTATTTGTGGTCAGGAGGGAATAGTGATACTATAAACAATGCAGTTAAGGTTGGAAAACTAGAAACAGAAAAAAACCCCCAAAACTTAGAGAAATCTGGAACACAAAGGGTTTATTTCAGAAAACTTAATCTCTTTTCTTACCTCTGGTGATAGCCAGAACCTCTGCTTGGTACTGCCCATTGACTACATAGACTGAATCCCGGTTAATTACTTTGTTCAGTATGATTTCACCAGTGTTTTGATTGATTCTGAACCAGGCAGCTGGATCACGTCCTATACTATATCTGTATTTGATGAAGTAAAGATACTCAGCATTATGTTATGAATATATGTGTTACATATTTATTTTGCGGATAAAATTTGGCACTTTGGAGCATTTTTATTTCGGCTATGCTAGATCCTGTTGCATTTCACCCAGTTCATGTGAAATCCATGTACTCCAAAAGATGTATACCAGAAAAGTAATTAGGAATAAAGCAAATGCATAAAAGCCCATTTTATTTTGAAAGTGGCATTGTAGTCTAAAAGTAAAACTTTTCTGGATCCTGTAAACCTTTACTAGAACCCTTGTTGACAGCAATGGTTAAATCCACAGCTCTTTCTATAACATTCTACAGTTGTATTTGCTGACACATTTCTGTGTTTTAGGCAGTTTTTTTCAAATATTTGTAAATAGGCTTTATTTATTCCTATATGCATTGAATAGCAAATTAGTCTTGGTTAGTGTTGTTAATTTCAAGAGAAACAAGTGTAAATTTTTTTTTATTACAGAATGAACTAGCAGGGGACTCTTCTATTCTGATTGGATAATATTGACTGTTATTATGATTTCTGTCTGTTTTTATTGCTATGCTAACACATTCCTTCCTGGTAGCAAATGTTTCAAGAAAAAACATTTTTAGGCTGAGTAAAAAAAAAACAAACCTTATTCTAGTCTATTTAAGTTACAGCCTGTTAGAAAAGTGATATTTTCTTTTTCTTGTGCATAAGGCTAAGGAAAGTAGTCAGGAAAGAAAAGCAATTATAGCACAAAAATGGGCTATATGCTATTCTGTAATAATATAGAATATAATACTCTATAATACATAATATTATATGATGCCATTTTTCTATTGCTAATCAATAATCATTGTTTTTTAAAGCATCCTTTAAAATACCTATTCCTCATTCCATTGAAATCTCAAAAGAATTATTCCATCCAGGGAGTTAAGCAGAGCAGAACTTACACAACATTTGTTGCAATGGTTCTAGTATCCTCATCCATGGCTGTGTATGTTCCTACAACATAATTCACTCTTGCACTTTCTGGCAGGGAAAACACAACTGAAGATGGATGAAATCTTGGTGGTTCAATCAAATTTTTTACTTCTACTGTGAGGGGTGTCCCAAATATTTGGTACTCATGTGCAACAGAGTGGTGGAATGCAGCTACATTCCTGACGCCAATCATCAGGGAGTGAGTTCGCATATATTCAAAATCCAGCTCCTAGAAGGTAAACCACAGAGAACTAGATAATGCATAAAATCTCCTTTAATTTTTTTTTTATGGTTGAGTGACAGTGTTTTTACTGCCTATTGTTCTATTAACAATTAATTAAAATTTTAAATCAAGAGCTGAATCACAATATTTATCCATACCTTAATTACTCTAAGGATTCCTTGATTTGTAGCTCGATCTGTAACAATTTCAAAACAGTTATCTTCATTACCGGATATAAAGAAAAACTCTGCTAACCAATTGTCTGTAAACTCTTCATCAGCATCCAGAGCTTGTATTCGTAGCAGTTCTGAACTGAGTGAATTTTCTGAAATACTTGCTGAAAACTGAAATGATAGATAAATACCCATTAGCAAACATATATATATATATATGTGTGTGTGTGTATGTGTGGAAAACACAGCTGTCTGCAGAGATTGTTTTGAAGGATGTTCTGAGCATAGTCCATGCCAATTTAATAAAAAGCCCATGTGTTCTGGGCAAATGGTGATTATGGTTACATATTTGAAAAGCTGTATCCCTTCCAAGGTTTGCAGAGGCATCTTAGAGGAAGAGGATTTGTGCTTTCTATAGGAAATTGTCTTCCAAGGATTGGGTTATTCTACATAATCTCATATTTCAGGGGTCTGGGCACCTGTATGACAGGATTTCTCTGAATACAAATAAGTCAGTCCTGATAGTGTCAGGAATGACATCTCTGAATACAAAAATTATATATGTGTATGTTACCAGAATTGTTGCACAAGCGACAGATCATATTTTGAGCATGCTTCAAGGGAACAACCATGTAAAAATTACATGGAGCATATAAATGTGAACATTCTCTCTGGGCTAGTAAGGGATCTGTTACCAATGGGGCTTTTAAATGGGGTTTTAAATCGGTGTTTCTGCTTTTTTTGCTGGAAACTTACAGAGCTTTGAGCAAGAGTCGGAAAGTTGTCATTAACATCGATAACTTTCACGTTACAGCTACAAAGGGATGATATTCCATCTGCAGCGCCATCCCGGTCTGATGCTTTCACAACCAGAGTGTAGCTACTATGTTGCTGTCACAAAAAGGGAAATGAGTATGTTAGAAGACCATATCTTATAAATAACTCATGTTTGCTACTATTTCCTAATACAGGACTTTGACTTAGACATTTTATTGTGACACATCAAAACCATGCATTTCTCCATTAATATTTGTAAAGACCACAACCTTTCTCTCTCTTCTATATTTTTCTTGCTCTCATAGCACATACACACTACAGCACAATTTTATTTAACTTTGGAAGGGGAAATGTTACCTCTCTGTCAAGATAATTTGCAAGATGGAGTTCGCCTGTGTATTTATTCATAATGAACATAGGTGGACCAGAAGGTTCCTGACTCTCTATTTTGAAGGCAATTTTAGAATTCAAGTGGTTAGGTTCATCTGCATCAGTTGCAATGATTTTCATCACCAGTGTGTCTAAAAATAAATTAAAAATAATAGCAATTAAAAAACCCTACAAAACAAACAAACAAACAAAGACCAAACCATGAAAGCCCCAGAAAATCTCTTGAGTTCCTGCAAACAACTCATCAAGACAATGATGAAACAGTGTATGAAAATGACAGAAGGCTATCTATTCCTTGACATTTACAGAGAAAACTGAAACTTTAGTTTTTTAGTACTGATTCTGACAATGTTAATGACTTCAAATGAATTAAAAATCAAAGTCAGAAAAAGTAATGCAGTCTTTCACTGAACTTCTTTAAAGAAATTAAATTCCCTATCACCTTAGGGAATATGCAAATAAAGTACTGAGCTTGTAGAGATTACTATAAGAAATCACAGCTTTAAATGAGAATTTCTAGAAAGAAGAAAATTAGTATTAGACACCATTGCCTCAGTGGTATTTGCATGTCTAATGTTGATTGCTGCACTTTTGGTGAAAAGAACCATTTTAATGGTTTAAGTATGGAATTATTTAGTAATGTTCTGCTGCAATTGCAAATACACATGCTACAAGTACAAGTATTTGAAAGAGAAAAATGGGGAAAAATGTATTTTACATGCCCTCCAAGGAAATAAGTGTGATGATTTTTTTATTCTAATGAGAAGGAATGAAATTATTTCTTTTACATTTTCACATCTGAAAGAATTTGCATGATGGTATGGCTAGAAACTGGAACATTCCGCACTCGTGTGTGGGAGGAAAGGGAGAAGAAAGCATTGCTATTTAATTTATAGCAATTAGCCCAGGCCTTGTCTCAAATAGCACTTGGAGAAGCATCTGCTGCTCCCTCCTCTGCAGTGGCCCTGACCATTTTATGTCATTGCCTAAGAAAAGCAGAAAGAGCAGCCCAGGTTTATATTAACTGTATTCTGTGAGCTTCACTAGCAGTACTGAAAAAGGCATAGCATAGCTACTCACTGTCCATGCTGCTCTCTTCAACAGATCCCGTAAATACAGTTTGTGCAAATACAGGAGGGTTATCATTTATATCCAGGACTCTGACTCGAAGTTCAAGAGGTGGTTCCAAATCTATACCGGTCACTGAGTGTTTAGCAAAGCAACGTATCTAAAATAAAGAGATTTACTCGTTTTAAAACCAAAAGTTAAGTAATTAAAGTAGCAATCTGAAACAAATTTCTTGTCTGCCCCACTCTGGATCTATCATTATAAAGGTCAAGAAAAAGGGGAGTACTTACAACAAATACTGGTGTTATTTCCCTATCCACTATTGATGTTATATTAATTTCTCCTGTTCTTGGGTTAACAACAAATATTCCATAGGGTGCACGATCAATTCCAACTCCAGAGATGCTGTATGTGATTGGATTGTCTTCTTCACAATCAGATCGGATCTACAGTAACAGATAATAATAATAATTTATGCCAGTTTACCAAGGACATCTACAAGGTTTTTTCTTCTATTCTTAGTTCCTGTAAAAAAAGTTTCTCAGTTTCTCAACCACTTATTACAAGGTTCAGTTGACAGAATCAATGGACGGCTCTTCTACAAAACGTCAACCTAGACATCCATCTCGCCTTAAGGTCTGGATAGGCCTTCTATTTCTCTTAAATCTGTCTGGGAAATGGAGAGAGAAACCTCCAAGGGTATCACATTGTGGCTGGAACTCACTAAGGGCATGGTCACAGTGAGAGAGCAGGAAGGCATTTCTTTTTCTCTGTTTCCCACAGGTCACGTACAGTCTTTGAACTTCTGCTCAGGGGTTTCTCAGGATGAGAGAGAAGAAAAATGTCACTGGTTGGAGCTGCCTGGGAAGTAGACTCATAGCAATGTTCTAGGAAGCCTCTGGTTACTCCTCAGCAGCCACATGGATTCACCTTATGAGACTGTCTCAGCAGAGCTGGGAATGTTGCATCATCTTTCTTTTATTCTACATTCCGTGCTGTTACTACTCTTAGCATATGTATTTTTAAATCTCTCTGCTTTTATCAGCCTGTCTTTGGCAAAACTTCCCTGTTAGCGAATACTTGTGTTTTTCTTTCTACTTACTCTGGCAATTGGATTCCTCTTGGAATTATCTTCTCCTTCTCTACAAGCTGCAGCAAATTTGATCCATTCACGTTTTTGTCTTCTAAAGGTTTTCCATCTTGCCATTCCATTTTCATCCCATTCTTTTACCTTTGACAGAGAGTTCCAGTATCATGTGACCTCAATCCATTTTAAATAAATACAGACAATTATAATTTCCAACAATAAGAAGAAAAGAGATTTTTGTAGACCATGTGCTTTTTTACCATGTGCTTTTTTACATGTCTGAGTCCCAAACTCTATGGATGTACATGTTTATTTTAAAATTACTCATTTGTATGAGATACTCATTTAGATTTCGGTGAATTTCTCTTGAGAGGGTTAGCAGGTTATTACCTGCAGCTGTTTAATATTTAAATATGTTTTCAATCTTCAGGTTCAGAATTGTCTTAGTTGAGTATTTTCCATGAGATTTTTTCATTTGTTACATTTTGTTTAAACAGAAAAATAGTTTCTAAATAAATATATTTTACCTCTACATGAAATCCTGTGCTGAAATCCAAGAGTACCTGCAAGAACAATAAAAAAATTGACATGTAAAAATGAAAGGAAAAATGCAGGAAGGAAAACCCAGCTGCAAGACGTTGCTATACTGCAGGGCTATTGCATTAGCTTATCTAGCTGCAAGATTTCCACAAATGAGTTTATGAAATTCAATTTTTTCTATATCCAGCACCTAAATTCCTTGACATTTAAAACCTTCAAAATCCATTCTGTCTTTCAAGACAGAACTTTGAGCTTGAATGGATATGCCAGAGCAATGTTCAAACTATACCTTCATCAAAATAAAGCTTTTACACAGATTTTTAACACCTCAGCTGAAGAGAGAAGTGTTTGTAAGAGTTTTTACCAGACACTCTAGGAAACCAAAGAAGTATTTATCCTAAATCATTTTTTTTAGTTCCCCCCCCCCCCGACAAAAAATTTTCCAAAATATTTTTTTTTGTTCCCCCCCCCCCCCAGTTAGAAAGTTGACAATAACCCTGGAGGACTTAATTATGTAATTTAACCAAAAAGAATGAAAATGGTTTTTTTTGGAAATTCCCAGTGAGATTGAAGAGATTCAATGTAAGATGGAAACCCACCTGCAGTTTTCAGGCAAATTTCCCTGGAGTGCAGTTGATTTTGATTTGAGACTCAATTATGCAACTAGTCTTGAGTAAATAAAGGTAGCAGGATCAGATGCAGTATGTAATTACTTTAAAATTAAAATTTAAATGAGAGTAGCCTCAATTTCTTGGTTAGCACAATTTAAAAGACGGCACAATTTAATTAACTTTATTCCTAAATAGGGTGTGAAAATGAAGTTCACTTTCTTCAGAGCATCTCTTTCAGGTTTAGGATCTGCTTTGGGTCTCTTCAGACAATAAAGAGTGAAGAATGTGGGATTTTCAGGACTGGATTCTTGTTTCATTCATCATTGGAAGATACTAAATATCCAGGTGACTCAAAAATTATTGCAGTGTTTATCTTTTCTCAACAAATGTTAACAGCTGCAGTTATGAGTATTTCACTTCCTTATAATTTCCCATAGCTTTTTGGTTTGGTTTGGTTTCTTTTTTTTTTGTCTGATATGTTATATCTGTGGGGTTTTATGTCAGCTATACTTGGACAAAATCTGGCATCTTTTATCCTTACATCATGGGACTTTCCTCACTTCAAATTTATTGCATTGTACTGGCAAGACTGGAACATGGATACAAAATTTTTTCCACTTACTTCATGTTAAGGCAATTTCTTACATGCAACAGATTAATGAACAGTAGCTTCACCCTCCTTCCTTTCTCTCTCTCTCTCTCTGTCTCTTCCCCATTTGCCTTATGCTGCAAGAATTCACCATCTGTCATTTAGGAAACAGTGTTTCCAATGATCTGGTTTTACCCAAAACATTCCTTGAGACCTTGGCCTACAATGGATGCCTTAATCTGCTTCTCAGTGGAGGAGTTTAGACTGGATCTGCCCATTTGATGTGCCTGTGTAGCTTGACATTTTTTGGACTACTCACCGAGTAAGGATTTTTTCCTTGCTTGAGCCAGCTATTGACATAAATGGTTAAGAAAAGTACTCTGCAGGAGGATCACTACAACATGTTCATGTTGTGCTAAAAGCACCAATAGATCTTGTACCTTATGTTGGATTTATGATTGTTTAAATCTTCAGCTTCAGAATAGAGTTCAAATGCAGCTATTCTGTTCCTCATCTCAGAGAAGGGGCAATATCAGACTCCCTGTGAATGGCAGGGTTTGTTCGCCCCAGTGGGAGATCAGTTGTGGTTTTTTTTATAATCCCCCTTGGAGCCCGGGAGAGCATGGAAGAATCAAAGGGGAACCTGAGTGATGAGGTCCACCAGAAATAACACTAATTGAACGTCTCTTATCAGTCTATCCCACCTCATTTGGAGAGCACAATGAAATCTTCTCCACCCTTAGGCTGAAATCCCTTCTGGCATGCAAACAATTGTCTTGACCCCGCAAAGTATGGGTATGCCCCTCCCAGTGCGATGTTAGTGAATCTTGTCTGCTGTCTGCATCATGTGGCCTATCCTGTTACTTAACAGTGAGACTAATACCTCACACCCAGCCACATCACTCTCATATTCTGAAAAACTATTCTGAGTTTTTCTGAAATAAGAATTATACCTGTAAAGAATTCTATTACTTAAGGACATGAGTATTCATAAATCTCTTGATTCCAGCCTATAGGGAGCTCTGTTTTCAAGCAGTGAAAAATGCATATTTTACACTGGAGCCTTATCCTTTGTTTTTGAGCACCAGTAATGGGAGCACCAGGAATTTGTCCACTGGTGATGCTGGGGATTGTAAATTTAGGCAGGCCCTGTATTTTCACCCTTGTGCAGTGATAGCTAAGGAAAACCCCATTTTGCTACTTGTTGGTAATGGAAGACCTTGAATTCAGAGTCCTTAGTACAGTTCATGTTATTATTTGAAAAGGTTGATCCAATGAACTTGGTGTCTCTGTTTGGTATGTCTCTCACTTACAGCTGTGGTATAGGAAGGAGGACAGGCAGACATCAGACAAAAATATCTAGTTCTCCAGATAAATCTGAACAATTTTGAAATTACATTTATCCTACTTGATTCAGGAATAGAGACTCCTCCACCTCCCCAGCTAATGCCTTCTGGTTCTCCACTGTCACCAGCAGTTAGAAGTCTTCCACTAACCCAATCGTTTATTTCTCATATGTATCTGGGATGCAAACCTTTTTTTTCTAGTGCTATTTCCAGCAGATAATTCTGTCTCCTAGCAGCTAACCAGCAAATTTCTAAGTAGTTTAAAAAAAAAATCCCTTCTAAACCCATATCCAAGTACAGTACTTTACAAAGACACAAGGATAAACAATAATTAAAGCAATAGGAGCCACTGGAATGTGTGGGATGCATCCTGAGGACCTTGGGGTAGGCAAGCTGGTCAGAATGGTGCCAAGATTTGCTGTCCTGTTAGTCTCCGAGAGATTGTGAAAAAAAAGGAAGCTGCAGAGAATCTATATGCTGGTTGCACAAGCTGTTTCTGTTTTGGGTTGGGAGATGTACAGGCAGGAAACAAGTTTATGGTTTCTGTCATTTGCACAGTGTTCTGTCTGAAAGCTTGTCTTTTATTGTAATGATACCTGGACCCTGTGTCCAAAATGACACCTTAGAGTCACACTGGAGTTATTCTGGATTTATTCTGATGCAACTGGGGACAGAATTAGGCTCATAGGATGTCTACTGTTCTTTGCACCCTCAAAACAATTTACAAACAAGAATTAACTAATCATTAATTGAGTGCCAAGCAATATCATACGTAATTACGGAATCCTCCCTCCTCCACCTACTCAAATCTAAATGACTGAACATGCCTTTAACATCTTCCCAGCATTATTCATATGGGATCTGCTTCTCTCTCTTTGAAGTCAGCAGTGGCATTGTTGTTGGCCTGGATGGGAGGAGTGCTGAGAACTCACACGTATTGTGTTAGTCATCAAGCTGCCGTGGTAGCTCTGGTACTGTCAGCGTTTTGGGACTTTTACATCTTTCTTACTCATCCAAAACCCTGACTAGAAAAGGGTTGCAATAATGAACCCTTCCCCTTTATTCATTCTGCATCTCTTTAAAAAAATGATACATCAATGCATACTAAATAATGAGAAGCAGAGTTCAAATATAAGACAAACTGTCATATTTTATAAATATGCCATTTTATCACTTTTTAATTGAAACATGATTTCTTTTTCTACATTTCACTTTTTCATATGTCACTTATGAATGTACTTAATCTAATTTAAAGGAAAGATTTTCTAGATTATTTTTCTGGCATTTTGTTTTCTGATTCAGAGGAGGTCAGGTGTTTCCTATGTTAGCAATACTTTGAATTGCACCCAGGATGGATAATCCATTATTCTTTCAACAACTGTGACAGGGATAATTCAGGAATTATGACAATGCTCATGTTACGCTGAAGAATATACTTCAAAGTTTTATTTATTTTAAAATCAGTTTACTCAAAGAACTGACAACTTTAGGAAAGTTTCTACTGAGATTGTTTCTGTTCTGCTATTGTATCTTCTATTGTATGCAGATACAATACATTTCCATAGTGTAACTGAGCTTAACCATTAGAAAAATGAACAGAAAAGTAATTTCAATATAGGGTGTATGCCATTATCATTAAAATTTGAGTTTTTCAAATTAGTCATGCTAAGTGCCCTCAATAAATCTCCTCAATAAAACCTGAATTCTGATATGACTTAGAGTGTTCTGGTTGCGAATGCATGTTTGCTTAATGGCCATTTTACTTAGGAATGTAAAACTGCAGGCTTAAGTACCTGATCTTAGGTGATAGTTCCTGGATGTGGAATTGCTTTAGTTTATATTTCTACAACAAAATTATTTGGCAGAAGAAGCTGCAGGTTCTTGATTCAATTCTGGCAGATATTTCACATGAATATATAAGAACAGGATGTAGCTCCTGACTATTTTTGCAATCAAGTTATGAGTAGGATGTGTAACCATAGCCTTACAACTGGGGTGGGGGGG